AAACTTCTTAAAGAGAGTCACACGAAATTCTGTCGAATGTGAATAAAACGTTTATTTTTGCATTTATTCATTTATTTATATATTTTTGCTAAAACTAAAATCAACCTAAAGTTGAATTTTGTCTAATTTAAAATTTAAGTTGGTATTGTCTTAATTTACTATATTACTTGTTATCCTATATGAAGTTAACTATTAAAATTACAGGAAGAAAAACATTTATATTTAGTTTATATATAAGTCTATGGGTAACGTATATATAACGTATAAACTCGATGTTTGGGCAAATAACATTTAAAGGCAATCAAGTATTCCTAATTCCATTGTAGTAATTAAAAGAATGGGGAAGTTTTAATCATCATCCTAATTACGTACGGCTAGTTTTTCAAATTGTAAACACAAATAAACTTGCCAAATATCCTAAGAGAAAAGTGTTAATATTTCTAAAGTAAAAACTCAGTTTAAAATATCCGAACCAAAAATCATTTCTTCATTTTCAAATCTTTTATCGTTTTTTTTTTTTTTTTTTAATCAGCATTAAGCAGTAACTGAAAAGATCACTGTTAAGAACTAAACTAATACATTAGAATGCGGGAGTCAGGTATTTTATAACAAAATTTTGTTGATTGGTTTGCTTTGGTTTCTTCCTTTATGAGCCCGCGTTACCCCTCTTCCCCACATCTTAAATAAGAATTAAATCTTTTTAATTATTTCTTTCTTTCTTAATGCAGAAAAAGGCAAGATAAGTAATTTTCTTTTCCATTCTCAACGTCTTTCCGCTACGTCGTATTAAATTTAAGCTATTCTAAAATTTTTATAAAATTGAAGCCCATAATGGTTTCTATTAAAAGAAACAAAAAGAAATTTCTGACAAATTCTGGCATTTTTTTTTTCCTCCTCAAACTTGAACTTTTTCTTCGACATCAGGGCCCACCAGCGGCCGAGCGGTAAAGTCGCTGAACACTGGTAGTTCGGTCCGAGGTTTGAATCCCGCGAACGGGCTGTCTGCATGGGTGTTTTCGTGGTTTTCCCCATGTGTAACGTGTATACAGTTTCCCTTAGAAAGTCCTCCACGAAAGGCATCCCTCCTCTTAGGCAGATAGCCCTAGTGTGCTTTGCCATAATTAAATACACCAATCTTCGACATCAAATTCTTTTCATAGAAAATCTGGCTTCCTAAGGATTTTTTTTTCATTCCACATTCTTAAATGACGACTAATTACTTCCATTGAGGAAATCTTTAAAGAAAGCCTGTCTTTTAAAATTTGAAATTTTCTGTAAGATTCACAGGAAGAAATAAATCCATCAGAAACTTTTGATCTGAAAAACAATGAAGTTCAGTTATGTCACTTGAAAACATAATTTGTTATTCCTTTTTAATTCCTTATGTGTTATTATAGGATGTTTCATTCTTAGGTATAATGTATTCTTCTATATCTAGAACGAATATGTAGCTAGAAAAATAAATATTGGCCTTTTCACACTTATGCACGATTTCTTCCTTCAAAAACGCCTAAAATGTTTTCCTCATACGTTACTTAACTGAAAAGTAGTTTCCCTTAGAAAATCTTCTTCAGAAGCTCCCTCCTGAATAGTTTTATTGTAAGTAAGTGCCCGATATAACCTTGGTTTCGGTTTCTTCTCACGCCACCACCCTCGTACCATTTTGCCAATTCATTTTTTAGTTTTAAAATAATCTTTCATTTCATAAAATTTACAATTTTTATTATTTTTAAATAAATTTTTCTTTATTAAAATTATGTTCTTTTTCCTTAGTTTTAGATTTAACGCCGACTATAAGAAGGACATTTTTCTCTTAGATGAAATAAGATCGTTTTAATATTGGTTCCATCCTATAGGATAATTACCTTACTTATACCTTACTTTGGAAGATTATTTGTATCTAATTTATGATTCAAATTTCATAATTTTTCTAAAATTATTTTCCAGTCCTCTTATTTTTTCTTAGTGCAAGAGCACATCCGTTAAGTTTTATCACCACCAAAGACTTCTAAGTTGATTAAGTTGACACTAAATTTCTCCACACATTGGTTGCTATAAGGCAGTTACCTCAAAGAAAATCTTCCTCTTGATTTGGTTTATTATTAATAATTTCCTAATATATTCTCTGTTTTAAATTTCTTTTTCCTTCGTTCCTCCATATTATTTTGCTAATTGACAGCTGTAACTTTTTAAATGGCTGTAAATACTCGCAGTTGCATTCGTGTTAATTATGCCTATATAACTGAAATCCATTTATTTAATATTTAGAAGATTAAATTTTTTAAATGGAATTTAATCAAACAAGGTCGTATAGTTTCGGGCTAATAAAATAAATAATAACCAATTTTACGGATCGCTATAGAGCCAAAAATAGAATGCAGCTGAAGAGCAGTGTATCTGTTGCTACTAAGAGACTCGGGAATGCTTTTTTCTCTTGAATTAGATGAACCTAAAGCATCACCGTCAAAATTAATATAATTTTATATAAAATCTGCAAAAGCCTAATTTTACATAAAAGATTCCAGTTATGTTTATTAATTAAATTGCAAAACTTCAGACTTTGAGATACTAATATATTGAAACAAAACCTCAAAATAACAAATATTTAATGCACCTTGGAGAGAGAAATTAAGAAAACCACTAATACAGTTTTGAAAAAAGTTTTACATTTCCTGTGATCCAAGAATATCCAAAGAATGCAAATATTCAGTTTACATGACCCTGAAAAGTAGAACACCTGTATTTTGTGGAAATTTGTATATTTGTAAAAAAAAAAAAAAAAAAAAAAAAAAACTTTTAAAGACCAAATAGGTAACTTTTAATAAAGGGAACATTCATGAGATTTTCTATTTATTTCATTTGGAAATCCATTTACTGTTCGAGAAAGAAGTCCAATTAAGTCCTCAGACTTTCAACCGTAAGCGATTCTCGATCAGAAATATATTAATCATAAATGAAAATAAAAAATGCTCTTGCCAATTAAATGCTCTTGCCAATTAATTAAAATGCTTAATAATTAGCCTAACACGTGTTTAATTAAGCGCAAAGGAATTTTTCCCTTTGATTTTTAAATAGCCAGGTAGCCAGGAAGAAGCTCCTAATATTGGGTGTAATACACTGCAGTTGAAAAAAAAAATGAATGTGCACGCAGTATGGGCAGTCATTGTGTAAATTAGCCGCTTATGCAAAGAAGAGTTTCATACAAGATTCAGGATTAGAATATAACAGAGAAATATTAGTGGATAAAATACTAGAAGCAGAACTGAAGACCTATGTTCGTCCAAAGTGTTGTTGTTGTCGTTATACTGTGCTGTTTAGTTTTCTAAGCGTTATTTTAATTTTTGAGCATTTCCTGAATTCTCTGATTTCCCCTAGCATTTTCTAGCCAGGAGGCAAATTAAATAGATGAACGAGAGTATTTAAACTGTTGAAACGAAAAGGTTAGACAGAGCGTGATTTCACTAGTGAAGTACACATTTGCTATTTTGTCCCCCAGCTGTTAATTTTTGCAGCGGCTATGCATTCTGGCCAGTTAGTATACCGCCAATGTAAGTGTCTGTGTCAGCCTGTTAGATTTAATTGAATTGTGTAGTTTAGAACTACCTCCTTTAACATTTATTGTTATCGTTTAAGTTCTCAACGCAAATAGATGGTGCTTTTGTGAAAGCCCGTAAATCCGAGCCTTCGGTTATACAGTTTGTGATAAACAAAGGGGCTTTTACACCCTTTCCCTGTTGTGTTCATCTTCATGCCTGTGCAAAAAGTCGTCAAGTACGAACTTTAAGTAGATCTAGTAGCTTTCATGCTTTCAAAACACACTAGATATGGCCACATTGTTACTGATCCTAACTGGTCAGCCGTTAGGCTAGACCAGATTCATGAATCCAAGAAGAGTCATTAAATCCAAAACGAAGGTAGGTCTTTTCAATAGGTCCTCCTTTTCAAGTTCCAAACAAGTGAGATGTTCAAGAGCGAAATGATGAGTATTACATTTCCTGCAGATCATCAAAAGTTCATCAGATACACAAATCTTCTGTTGCACTATTAGTAAACTTTTAAGTGCAGTGACTCTTGCATCAGAAAAATAGCGCCAAAATAAGCAGTTGCTACTCTTGGAAAGTACGGATGATGAGTTCATTAAGCACTTGCAGAAATAAAACGTTTCCACAACATATATTCTTACAAAATACTAATAGAAAATAATTTTTTTTCTTCTCTTTCCGAAAATTAATTTTGCTTTTTTCAGAACAGTTCAATATTACACTTTAATTTACAAACACTGTAACAGCTTTAAATTTGAGAAATATTATTTCCTTATCATCAGCCTTAGAATAAGTTTTAAGAATAAAAGCGTCAAAATAAATTTAAATGTAGTAAAATAATAACACAAGCATAAAATTCTTTAAATTAGAACAACTAAAAATAATTAATGTTGTCAAATTCACTGTATATAAAATGTCTTTAATGATAATTTCTAAATATCAGTTTCATAATTTTTAAAGCATTTCTAAAAATTTTTTTAAATACCCATTTTAGCTAAAAAAAACTATTTGACACGAAAAGATTGCTTGTTTATCTTCATTTGATTTTTATTTACATTTAGCTTATATGAAAGAACTTTAGTTTAAATTACAATAAATGCTTATTCAGCTTAGTACCTCATTTTTTAAATTTAAAAACATAACATTTGAAGATCTCATAAGAGTACCTTATCTACAAAATCAGCAGCGTAAAATAACTAAAAAAATACTTTAAAAAGTTTTTTTCAGTAAATTAAATTTAATTATGTATTTTACTAACTTTAGCTCACTTTTATGTCACTTCTCCTGAAATCTCCAACCACGTAAGTAAATTTTTAATAAATTCCAGCAAATTCAATATATTGAAACAGAAAAGAATCTAGTTTGACTAAAACCGAAGTAGTTTGTTCACTTGCACTCGAAAATCACTAGTGAGATTTCTTTGACTGTAAAGCAATAATTTTTAAAGAAAAAACTTACCTCCTCCATTCTTATAACAGAGGTAAGGAAATCTCCAGACGTTTCCGAGTCCAATGGCATAGCCGACGCATGACATAATAAAGTCCAGTTTTCCAACCCAGTTGCCGCGTTCGGGCAGGTCATCATCGGGAGCCATTTCTGCAGCGGGTCCCGAACCCTCTCCCCCGTTGGCCGGAAAACTATTCAACTCGTGGCTCTTCTTGTCGGCCATGCCGGAAAGTTGAACGGAAGGGCGCGCGGCACGGATCACACTCGAGCATTCACTGAGCAATGCAAACTATCATCCCTTCAGCATCATCCGTTTCGTCATGTGATGCGCTGCCAACTGTTGCTTCCCCTTTCGTCGCTCCACCTTCTCTCGTTCCGATCCTTCCCACCTCTCTCCTCACCAGGCGCCGAAGAACGCTCTTCGAGGATAAACATCTTCGTGAATGTCCTTCTTCTGTTGTTAAAGCGACAAAATCGTAGAATGTTTTTATACGGCTTCCAAAAATTAGGAAAGATGAACATTCCAACTTGAATTCCTGGCAGTCGGAAAAATAGTGGGGAAGTTAATAAGTAACAATAACAGTCTTTATCAACGGAAGAAAGCTGTAATGATACAATGACATACCGCATTAAATTTTGATAACTGTGTATTCATCTAGTTAATTACTGAAATTATTATTTTTAGTTACTAACCAGAGATTAGTAACTAAATATTATTATTAAATAATTAAATAATTATTCATCATTAGTTACTAATCAGAGATATTTTATGTTTGTTAACAGTTGTAATCACTAAACCGTAGTAAACGCAAAAAAAAAAAAAAAAAAAAAAAAAAAAAAGTAAGAGTCCAATAAATAACAAAAACTGTTGCATTTTTTCTAGTTTAAAGACAGGAAGGCTCATCAGTGACCGAATGAAAAAAGCAACCTATTAGCGGTAGCTCGTCTTAGGTTCAATCCTCGCTTACAAGCGTTTGTTAAAGCTCGGCTAGCTGCATAGAATCTTCATGATTTTCAGAATTTCGAAGTATTAATCATAAGCCATTTTGGATTATCAACTCCCCCCAAAAGAAGAAGATAATCTTAGAGACCTTTACCTTAATTTTTTTTAACCAGAAACCATCCATACCAATGGCAAACTAAATTACAATCAAGTTATATTCTTAACTTATTTAAAAAGCGATTGTCGGCCACCTGATAATATTATTCTGCGTGATAACTTTTGCCAAATAAAATTAGATTAACAGTTTGCGGAAGAAAATACCACTAATTAACTCATTTCATTAAATTACATCTTCAATGTAGAAGTGAGAATATACGGAAACACTAAATTCTTCATACAAAGGAATGCAGTCAAATGCAGGGTCATCCCAAAATCCGAAATAAAAAATTATTGAAATTAAGTGTACTAAACGGAGTTGTATCTTAGAATCATGGATTTACGTCTATGATTCAGAACTATTACTGTTAAAATTCAGCATTATGTTTCCTGTTACGAGACAATGTTATTTTTAATCTAAAAACAAGAGCAAGCATTGGATTTCGTGGCATTCATACAGGATGCACATCAGCTCGTATTGAATTTTTCATACAGCCAACGTTGAGCAACATGCCTTCGCTTTCAGTATAAATTATTAGATGAATTTCATTTTCATTTAACTCACATTTTAAATTTTGTTTTACATAAAGGCTTCTAATAATACTTAAGTTTTCCCCTTTCTTTTTATTATTCACATTTGAAAGCTTCGAGAGATACAAGAACTTTTTAAGATTTTGGTACAAGAAAGTTTAGAATTCGTCCCATTACTATCAAAACCTTATTATGTTACGATTACTTAAAACATGACTTTTTTTTATCTCTTCTGTTATTTGAAAATTCTATCAACTCAAAGAAAACTATAAGATTTCAATGTTTAAATGTAGTGTATTGAAAGCTGTATCATAATTGTAATGCTTTAATTTATAATACTTATGTTATTCACTTTAAAGCATGCAAAAGGCCATTTTATTTAATTAATAGTAAACCAGCTTTATCAAAGAGTTACAGAAATTCTCTGCAGCTGTTTTTATATTTTAAACTTTGGATATTTGAGCAAATTGATTTTCATAAAATAAAAATTTTAAAAACAAGATAGGAATGTAAAAGCGATAACAATCTTAAAAAGAATGGTGTTTTTAAGTCATATACTCTTTCATCATTAATGGCAGCACTTGAATTGAATAATAGATTCTTGTTCTTAACGACGTTATGACTCGAAAATCTTGCTGTTCCTAACCACTTCCACTTTAAACAAAACAAGTTACCATAATTTACTGAATTTTAAAGTGACTGAGAGTTTAGTCCTAACATACCCATATATTCTATTTAGTTCTCAGAAAGTGAATTCCAATACCTTATTTCTTGTTTTGAGACTCATAAAGTTAATGCCGCACCTAACTGTTCTTTATTAAATAAACTACTGCTTATAAAATAATAATGTACGTGATTAACTCCGGCTTTATGCTAAAAACAGTATGTCCTTAATGTCATCAAGAAAAAATATCAGAATATTCCCTTTCATTTCTCCAGATTGTGTTATCTCATTGAATCAAATCGAAAGAATGAAAGGAAGTGTTATGGTCATCCACTTCGTTATGAACTGGAGAGAAAAGCAAAGTAATTCTCGCTGCAAGCGATTTCCTTTCTAATTGCTATAGTAACGGGCTACCTTGTTCGGGTAAAATTTAAAGATTCCTCTATCCTGGTACTATTTTAGACGTTTTCGGTGATTTGCTTAAGTATTTATACACAAAAACTCTGCATTTATTTCTATCGACGTTGATCTAGGATATGACGAAATAGAAATTTTAATAATAACAGTTACATTGGTAAAAAGGGGATGAAAGTAAATGATGAATTAAAAAGAATCGATATGAAGAAAACGGATTGCGACTGTTTTCTTATAAACTCAAAAAAAATTGAAAACAGTTAACTTCAGATGATTCTTCAATGTATTATCTGATTACACTTTAATAACCTTTTAGAATAAATATCGCTGCTCGTTTAAAATTAACATGCAGTTTTGACTAGTCAAAAGCTATCACATTTTACCCCTATAAACCACCAAGTAGACGTTAATACAGCTTTATTTCAAACAGAATTGAACGAAAGCTTCGAATTCAATGCAATTCCTCTATTTAAAATCTTTAAAAGCTTATAGAGATAAAACGTTTTCTTGCTTTTTATCAAGAAAAGGCAGTTAAAGTCAATTTGTATCAATTTAAAGACAATCTGCTAAGTTTTATTAAATTTAATTCGTTTTCCTTATGTTCAAAATCTGACCTAATCTATTGTGCCAAGGTTCTCTCTTTACGTGCATGTTTTTTTATAGAGAGCTGTTGACCCTGAGTTCCTCTTCACTGATGACAACCTTACACTTCATCGAGACAATTTTTGTACAATTAGACAATTTTTGTAGATAGCTCCCGTATGGATTGGCTTTCATTGTTGTCCAATTTAAATACAATCGACTACACGTGGGGCACTCTCGGGAAGCACTTGACAGCAGGTCGCTCAACTGTCATAAACTATTCTATAGCTGCGTCGAGGCTGCAAGTTCTCAGACGATCTCGTAGCGATGATCTCATAGCATCTTGCATTGCAATCAAAGATGCTCATACATCATACTGAGAACATAATTTTCTTACTTTCTGCTCATGATACAGACGATTCGGTTTTCTGCCCATCTGTGCTTGAAGCTTATATTTCACTAAAGATAATTTGAATTTTTGGATTTATCTTTTAGTCAGTCTTGTTCACTTTTCCCATAGTCTTATATCTCGATAATTTTAAGGTACGCTTAGTATTATACTTAGTATCCATTCAAAACATGGCTGAGCGACATTATATGCAAAAAGATCTATCTTAGCCTTGATTTTTGCACACCAATGCATTAGTCTTACAGCCTCAAATGCCAAGACTACGGATGCTGAAAGAACCATCTAGAATTACTCAAATGCCTCAAAAATAAATACAAGAATAAATTACATAGAAAATTAACTGCAAAAAATTCAGCCATCATTTTTACAACAATAATGAGAATGGCACAAAATTATATGCTCTAAATTTCTTTCCTTTGCCATAAATCTGTTATAGTTTGTATAACCAATGTATAACCACTTTGGTGTCTATACTTAAAAGTCCTGGCATATATCCGTTGTCCATGATATCGGGGAAAGAAAACGAAATAACCTAGACTCTCGACTAATCGGGGTAATACTAGAAACGATGTCCAGGGTTAACACAAAATCGCAGTTAATCCGATGGAAGTTAGTCATAACCGAATGGAAAAAAGTAAAAGAACAAGTAAAGAGGAATAACCAGTAGTATAATTGATATAAAATAAATAGTAAGAATTTAACAATTTATTCTGAAGAATAAGTTCATTTAGCAAAGTAAATTAAATTAGCACTCACTTCAAAAGAAAATGCTATAACTAATGAAGATTAAACATCATTAGAAATGAAAAAATTAAATTATAAATGGCAATAAAAATAATATTTACAGGAAAATTACACAGTCCGATTAAATTCAAACGCACTTGAAAAATAGCTTGGATTTTTTTTATTTCTTTGTTTGTTTATTTTTATTTTAGGAAAGTTCGATTTTAAAGAAAAATTTCAAAGAATTTAGAAAAATGTGTCAGATACAGCAAGTTACGTCTAGGCTAAGAAAACTGAAGATAGTAGAAGAGCGTTTGGAAATTACTCATTGTGAAAGTAGTGCTTCTGCTGTTTGTGATATTTATTTAGATTACTATGGTATATCAATTGGAATCAGTTTGAAATGACATTAAATGGCATTGCAAATGAATTATTTTTACGAATCAGCTGTTCACTTTTAAAGAATAATTTAACAATGTTCATGTATTTAAGAATAAAAATATTTGTAGACCAAGCTTCCAAACATTATAACATCATCTGTTATCATTGCTATTATTTAGTGCGTTATTTTTCGTTTTTCGTTTTTGATAAACGAGTCTGCGTTGATTGTTTGCAAGAGTAATTTTTCCACCGTTCTTCAATAAACAAACTGAATATTTTTAGATGAGACCAGGTTAATGAGCAGTCGGGTTAATCTGCCTCTGGTTAATCAGGAGTCTATTGTATTTGTTTAATTAAATTAAATTATTTAAAATTATAAAGCAGACTGCGTGCAAGGCACAGATGGAGGACAAAATAATGCGAACACCTGTGAAAAAGTATGACGTATTTCCCACGTGCAGTACAGCCGCGCCACCTAAAACAGAAGTCTGCCACCTAGTG